TACATTTCTCATCCAAATCCTAATGCTATCCATCAGTATATCATAGCAGACTTCATGAAAGCAGTACAACAGCATTTCATTTGTTTAATATGATTCAAATATTTCCACAAGAGTTTTTTGTGTGTTTTGAAATCATAGATGATGATCCTTCTGCATCATACGCACATCAGACAAGTGAAACTTGAGGCTATTGGTCAAAATGGGGGAGCTGTCTTTTAACTGATGCCACATCACATTTTTTATGTTTTACAACAGGTTTTGATTTAAAAAAAAATAAATAAATAAACAAAAAAATAGATGTATCTTGTCTACATAGTTTAAATACTCCAAGTTTATATTTTTCTTCACAATGAATGCACTTAGGGAAACCATATGCTGATGTTTAAATGTGCAATGGCAAGCTAACTGTGGACACTGAGGCAGTATTTGTACACCATGCATGTTTGTGCTGTGTCTACACATTCTATCCAGTGTATACATTTGTGCCTAGTTTGCAGAGCTAGCAGTCTCCTTTTATGCAGCACGCGTTGTATAGTTTTAAAAGGGAAAAACTCTCTCACTGTTTTAGATGACGAGTGAGCCACTGTTCCTCTCCATCTTTCCTTAATCTCTGCAGTGCAATAGAAGTCTCTTCTCACTTCTCGAGTGTGAATGGGTATTATTTTTTGTGGATTTTCTTCTTTTACTGTTGCATTTTTTGTTCTTTTTGGATATGTTGGACACATTTTTTTCATTACAGTACAGTTTCATTACATGTAGGTTGTTTTGCACTCATGTTTTCTGGGAGGACATTTAGTGGAAGGTATCACAGTAACTAGATTGCAGGATGTCCATTTAAACTTTTTAAGTACACCTTGTTGCTGCTGTAACAAAACTTTATCTCTGAAATGGTTACTTTATTGGAAAAAAAAACATTGTTAACAAGGTTATATTTTATTTTCTCTTGGTCCATTCATCATGAAATGTTCACACATTGTGAAAGGAGTGAGTGGGGCACAACCTAAAACATTTTTTTGCAAGATCATTTTAAAAGCACTTCAGCAAGATCAATAATTGTTTGTACAAGCAACCTACACATCTCTATTACAAATGAAAATGAAAAAATAATTTGTGATTGATTTAGGGGTGGCTGGTAGCATGGTGGTAGGAGAGGTGAGCTAGCAACCAGAAGGTCATGGGCTCAAACCTCAGGACTGCCCCAGGTAGTGCTGCTCCTAGATTGGATGTAGACAGCAAAATGACACATTTCCCTTGTAGAAGTAACGAAGTACATGACGTCTATAGTTTTTGATGAATCTGTGCCTTAGAAATAAACTGTTTTGAATTTATATGGGAACTCTCACTGTTTCCCTTAAGGCCCTGACATACCAAGTTGACTGACTGCCGTTGGTGAGCGTTGGTGGATGACCATTGCCCATAGTTTGCGCAGCGTGTCCTGCGCTGTCGGCCCTAACCAGCACTGTTTTGGCCGCTTGAACATGCTAAATCGGCACCAGTGGTCGGCTGTGAGATAGCTCACAAGGAGAAAAATGAAAGAGCAAAGTAAGCGTACGACATTCTCAAAGATAGCCTAATATTTCAACATCTGTGTAAGTACCAAAGCTTTATCACCTATGATGAGCATTTTATCTATTTTTTGCTATTTGAGTGTTCAAATTTTTAAAACAAGTAGTATTTGAATTAGTCAAAAATAGTATTAGTTTTTTATTCTAGGTTGGGTTAAACACATATGTAAAACTCGTAAGGCACTATTCAGACAGTATTAGTTTTACATGGAGACATAGAAGGGTAATGTCATTTGTACTGACGTTTCACAGTGATTTTAGTGCCATCCAAATTTGCCAGGTCAGTAAAGAAACAAGTCTGTATTTTTACAGGACGCGAGAGGCGATGGTGCACTGATCATCAGTGGCCTTACTTGGCGCTAGTTCTTCCTCATCAGGTTGGTGTGTCTGGGCCCTTAGGTGGCTTCGTTAGACCATGGTAAAACTACCTCCACCATGTGGAGGTTGTATTTTAGCCTGGCTATGTTTCGCTGTGAGTTCACATGCTTCAAAATAGTGTTTCAAAATGTTACAGCCAGCAAGAGGGTAATTAAAACAGTCTAGGAGTGAATTCTGTGACTTGTACACTTAACTCAGTAAGTTACTTTTATGTTTTTTTTTATACTTTAATGGTTGTCTGTGCAAGTGCTCACAGATGACGATGCTATGGGAATACTAGAAGATCACCAAAAGCACATTCTTCTTGAACCTTTAAAAAGTTCTTCTACTCAAAAATCCCATTTTGAAACATGATTCTTCAATGACCCAAAAGGGGTTCTTCTGGGGGAATTGCTTAAAGAACGCTTTGTGGCTAATAGGTTGTGTCCAGCTCTCCTTTCACAAGTGTTTTGATACGGTTTAAAAAATAAAAAAAGGGAAATTTAAGAGCTATGAGGTTGTGAGAGGCCAGCAATGTGAAAAAAGTTACAACCTTGTGCATTTTATTGTGTGTACATGACTATCAAATGAAAACTATTGAGGCAAAGACATTCTTTGTTTAATTTGCATGGAACACTGGACCGTTTCATCATGTAACCATGATTTGAATACAGTGGCTACTTGCATTTTTATTTTAAGGACTGTTCTGTAGATGTCATCAGCATTTTCCTGAAGTAGATTGGTACATAATATGTACATAATAACATTTATAAGCAGAGTTATTATTTAGTAGGCTATGTTTTTTTTAGAAAGTAATCATACTTGAATTACAGTCTTAAGTACCAGTGATTCAGCCATTTCAATTGTTTGTTTGATGCTTAACTGAGTTGTTAAGGTTAACAGAAGGCAACTTAAGATTATGAAAGTTTTTGAGCATGTGTCAATATTTATATTACTTTGATCAATTTAGAAGACACAGAAAAGGCAACCTGAAGCAGATGCCCACATGGGCTCAAAGCTGTAAATTCTATTCTAAATAGCTGTAAGGAACATGAGTGTAATTAACATAGGACATCATCAAGCAGCCCTTCTAAGTTTACCACAACAATATAAACATTGCATAGATGCTCAACGTGATATCTTTTTAAAGCTACAACTAAGATGTTTTATAAAGCACACACTTAAAGGTGCGATGTCATAGAAGAACCACTTCTGGTTCACTAAAGAACCTTTTAATTTAGTGTGAAAGGTCCTTTAAGAAACCAAAATTAGTTGTTCTGTAGCATGTGCACATATACACCTTAGGCACCTAAGCACGTTATTTACCATTTTGTTGTCAAGAAATATGTAAAAACAACGTATTTGAATGAATGCAGCTAAACATAAATTCAACAAAAAAGTTTATTTCAGAAAAAGTAATTGATATTTTGTGAACTAGTTTGACAAATCAAGTTTGGTTCTAGATTTCTACTTAATGCCCCCAATCATTGCATAGATTTGTCCATCAGCAGCACAGCTGATAGAACTTAATGAAGCATGAAAAAATGAAGAAACTAGTTATTGGACGACAGCCACTAATAATACTGGGGTTCCTCAAGGAAATGGTTTGGAAATGGTCAAACGAAACTCTGACACCCCCAAAACCACTACTTATATTATGGATTGTATTTATTCTAATGTCAGTGTTTTTCTGAAAAAATTAATTTAAAAAATTAAATCTATTTTGAGGGGCCTGAAATTATTATGCTTACTGATTATTTGTGATGAATGAAATGGATCTTCCATGAAAAGAAACTCCAAATTAGTCTGTGGTTGAATAACGGTCTTCCTAAAATCTATTTGGACCATACAGATTAAAGATGGCAGTGCATCTTCTATATGAAATTCATCATGTTTACAGTAAATTCAATATCCCATAAATCGGTGCACTCTTAAAACATCCTGGCTGTAGCTTTAAATTCTGATGGCGTGACACATCTCTCTCTTAGCCGAGAGGCTGAGCTACTGATAGATGGGAACACTTTAAAAGCAAAGGCAGGGACAGAGATTACAGAGAACTTTTTGAATTTATGACTGAAGACAGCACAGCCCACCTGGGAGCACAGAAGACAGATCCAGTAAAGAGCACATTTGTTGCACTGTTCAAATGCATTTTAATAGTGTTCAAAGAAAAAAATGACAAATCTGCTGTACATACTCTTTTTGCCAAATTAAATTAGTCTGGTTTAATAACACGGCTCATGTGTCTGAATTGTTTGCACACAGGGACAATTGTACAATTACTCAGAGTTTTATTCATTGTTCCTTTCAATGGCGGAATTTTTAAAGAACGATTTTGCAAGTGAGTTGTGCAAGTGTGGAAAAAACTTATGTTGAAAGAACCTCCAAAAAATATACTTTGAAATGAAAAATAGTGGTATCAAACTGATTGTAATGGCTCCCTTAACTTTTCTTTCTGCACTAATCCCACATAACCAATACAACCTTCTAGATGTAACTAATACAATCAGAGCAATTGCTTTTGAAAGAGATACATTTGCTCTGTTACATGCATTTTAGTACAACATTTAATGTTTTTTTATTTTTTCTTCAAATTATAACACGACTTCTAGTAGTTTATACTTGTGGAAAGGAATCTCCTTTTTACTCAGTTTGACTTTTAGCTATTCACATTGACTACTAGGTTCCTTTTTGGGTTTTATGTCTTTGTTTTGTTGGTTCGGCACCTAGGCTGCTTTCTTCTCACTTCTAAACTCTAGTATTTTATTTTAGACCAAAACATTTGAAAACGCACTTCCTATGCTGATAGATGCATGACATACAAAGAAGTTAGATGTACCACAGCAGTTCTACAGGGAACTTGGATTCTTAGTATTTCTTGATATACATTCTGTAACAAAAAGGACTTCTAATTCTTATCATCGGGCCTGAAACTCCAACCATCCTCAACATTTTTGATACATGGTGTAACAAAGATACTTAACAATAAGCAACACGATGTACTGCTATTCATGCTGCAAGTGAATGCACAAGTCAGTCAGTTTCAGCACTTCACATACCCAAAGTATCTGGGCAATCAAGAGATACACATAAGAGGTTTATTTAGTTTATTAACAATTTTGTGTAAACTTTTTTTTTTTTACAAACATAAATAATGATGTACAAGTGAACCTACTATGAATTATTTTCAGCGGTCAGCTGGGCTTTCTCTTCTCTGTAGCCTTTTAGAAGTTGGTTAACCAAGTTCAGTTCATTTTTCTTCTTAACAGGAAACAGAGGTGGGAAAGGGTTGCCTTTATACTCAATAACAGCCATAGCAGCACGGTCCAGATTTTCTCTGTTTGGTAGACGGGCCATCCGTGTATATCCACTTGACTGGTTTTCAAACCTTGGAGCGAGAACTTTGAAAAGCTTTGGAATCAAGTCTTTCTCCTGAAAGACAAAGAGGTATATTAAACGGTTTCTTTAAGCAACATTGTTGTGCTCTCCATCATCCATAATACATTGAACAGCCATAATATTAAAACCACCTCCTTGTTTCTATACTCGTTGTCCATTTTATCAACTTATGTTCTGTGGTGGTCCTGACCATTGAAGAACAGGGTAAAGCAGATGGACTACAGTCTGTAATTGTAGAACTAGAAAGTGCTCCTATATGGTAAGGGAAGCTGACAATATGGACAATGAGTGTAAAACCAAGTGGCTGACTGGTGTATATATATATTGATTACTTCTTTGTGTATATGAGTGTATGTATATAGCACAAGCACTACCTACCGTGAGCCAAAAATCAGCCATTTTCATCGACTTTTCATTAGTGTCTCCTTTTTTGGCATAGTCAATCAACTGGCAAAACGAAGTGGAAAGAACACAAAATTCATTCAATTCACTTCTACTTAGCATTTCATGAGAACTGCACAGGACTGATGCTTCAAATGCGTAGAACAAATCTTTTGATTTACAACTAGCGTTTCAGAAGCCAAAGACAGAAAATAATTCAACAATATGTAACTCAAACACTGGCTTAAGGATGAGCCGACTCTGTATCCCAAAGGGTTGTTCTTAACATAAGTTGCGTTGAATAAACAGATATAAAATTGGTTTTATACTCCCTTGACTTTAATCAAAAAAAATTGACCCCATCACTGTATTTCATGCTTGTAGTCTTTCAGAAGTGTTTTACAATAACTAACGCTAAACGTCCATCTACGGCCGAGCTACAATGTGAGCGAGCAAGGATGATACTGCCCTCATCCGGCTCACCTTGAAAACTCGATATTATTAGAAATGCTATTTTGACCAAACCACATTAATCACTTAGACTTCACATTTACACATCCAGTGCAGTAGGTCCTTGAATATAAACATTTTATATTGCTGTTTTTTTTTGGCAGCCAAGAAATCTGCTTTTGAACGCACAAACGAGCAGCTGCCTCAGTCACATTAGCTCTCACCTTTTCCGCGTAGAATCGAACCTCGTCAGCTCGAGCTCGGGTGGTCTCTATCCTCTCGTGTCGAACCAAACCCGTGAGGATGTTCCGAAGCATATTAATTCGGGACTCGGGGCCAAGACCCATTCGACGGGCCATCCGTCCATGAGATATCAAAGCTCGAAGTGTGAGATGCATTTCTCTGGAAGTTCGTGAGGGCCACTTTCTCACTGAATTCGCAATAAACACACCCTCTACTTTTAGGTATAAATTTCTCGGAAGAAAAAAATTTTTCCCCAGATATCAACGTTAAAATTAGGCTTATCTTAAAAGCTACACTGCTGCAAACCAGTCATGTGGGCTACCAAGCAGCTGAAGTAACCTTACTGTCACTAGCAGCGGAGACATCCGGTCACAGTCGGCCATGTATTTCAAAATAAAAGTTCTGCTTAAACTTCTTTTTTAAATAATATGAACATACTACGCAACGTCTCAAAACTCGTGTCGTGTTTGTTTAAATTAGTAAAATGATATTTGTTATGATACCTTCAGAAAGAAATAGGTATGTTGACAAATGACTTTTTCATTTATACTACTCCTACCAAATGTATATGCTGCATGGTTTAAGCACCGTTTTAGAACAGAACATTTTGAGGAGGTAGAACATTATCAGGAAAAAGGGCCCTAAGCAAAAAGACTCGTGGGTAGAATAGGGGTTCCTATTTTCCTATGTGGTTTTAAATTAGTTTTATTAATTTTTATTTTGTCTTTTGGCTTTTTCTGGCCAGGTAGAGGACAATTCCCTCAGTGTATTTTCTTGCAATTCACATGTCCTAAAATTAGTTTTTAGCTTAATGTTTATATTAGATGTAATTTAAATAATATTTCTAATGGGAATTTTGTATGTTTAAAAGATTGCATTTATTAATGATAGCAACATTCATATACTACAAAAGCCCTAAATGACAGTGAATTTGCACGTTTTTTTAAAGTCTGCTTTTCCATGATTACTATAGTTATTTTAATTTGTTTTCTCAAGATGTTGAGTTATATCATTATTATGTCATTATATCATTATATCATTATCATTACACAACAAATGTTGTTTTCACTAGATCTTGAGATATTTTATGGCAAAATAACAAAAATTTTTGATAAAATAATGTCTGTTAGGTCATGATAATTGAATCAGTCGAGATCTTAAGAAAATAACATAGTTTTGCCGTGAAAATGACACATATCACAAAATCTTGAGAAAACAAATGAAAATATTAAACATAAAAATACAGTTAAGTGTTTTTATTTTAAAGAAACTGCAAATAAAACAAGAAAAAAACAAAAAACAGCGATGTTTTGGAGTGGATAACAATAAATCTAGGAAACACATTTGAAACAACAATTATGTTGTATATTGTATATTGTAAAAAAAATCAGTAAATGTACATTGATTTTAATTGAACGCTAAATCTGATGCCTTCAGCATTGCAGATCATCCACCATACTTCACAGTGGGGATAAGGTACTATTTTGCATGGCTCTCTTTGTGTTGTTGCCAAAAACTCTATTTTGGTCTCTCTGACCATAGAAGACACTCCCACTGAAAGTTACAGTAACAGTTGGCAAACTTTAGGTGCTTGACTTTGTTGGACCTTGACAGCAGAGGCTTTCCTCTGGCAACCCTCCCTAAACAACTTCTGGCTATAGAGGCAGTGTTTAATTGTAGTTTGGGAGATGTTGTGACCCCAAAACCTTGGTGATTCTTTGTCCACTCGAACCATCTTCCTCACTGTGAGTGGGGTCAGTGTAGACATACGTCCTGTAACTGGCAAATTCTGAGCATTTCCAGTTGTTTTAACCTTCTTAATTATTGACCTGGTAGTGGAAATGGACCTTTTTTTTCTAACTGTTTAGTTATTTTCTTGTAGTTGTTTTCTGATTTGTGCAGCTTAACACCTTTTTGTAGCATATCATTGCTATATTCTCTGGTGTTTCTCATAATGATGGATGACTTAGGGAATTTGGCCTTTGTTTAGACAAAAGTATTGGGACACACCTCCTAATTATTGGGTTCAGGTGTTTCAGCCACACCCATTGCTAACAGGTGGATAAAAATAAAGAACATAGCCTTGCAGTCTCCATAGACAAACCCTGGTAGTAGAATGGGTCATACCGATGAATGCTTCCAACGCATTCCGAATGCTTCTCTCTCTGGCAGTCTGATGGACAAGTCTGGGTTTGGCGATTGTCAATAGAACATTACCTGCCTGACTGTATTGTGCCAAGTGTAAAGTTTGGTAGAGGAGGGATAACGCTCTGGTGTTCTTTTTCAGGGGTCGGCCTAGACCCCTTAGTTCCAGGGAAATCTTAATGCTTCAGCATACCAAGATACTTTGGACAATTGTATGCTTCCAACTTCCAACTGGGAACAGTTTGGGGAAGGCCCTTTCTGTTCCAGCATGACTGAGCCCCAGTGCACAAAGCAAACTCCATAAAGGCATGGCTGGGTGAGTTTGGTGTGGAAGAACTTGTCTGGCCCACATAGAGCCCTGACCTCAACCCCATGGAACACCTTCGGGATGAACCAAAACGGAGATTGCGAGCCAGACCCTCTCGTCCAACATCAGTGTCTGACCTCACAAATGCTCTTCTGGATGAATGGGGAAAAATTCCCACAGACACACTCCAAAATCTTGTAGAAACCCTTCCCTAATAAGGGGGAAAGTACTATAGCTGCAAAGAGGGTCCAACTCCATATTAATGCCCATGGATTTAGAATGGGATATCATAAAAGCTCCTGTAGGTGTAATGTGTAGGTGTCCCAATACTTTTTTCCATACAGAGTATATTCCCTAGTGAAACAGAAAATCATGGTTGACCATTTAAGTATTTCTTATAAATCAGGTGAACTTAAAAGTAAGTGTTCTTACTTAGCAAACTGGTGCTCACCATAATAATGCAGTTATTGTGAAAAAAAAAACATGTTGTAAAAATATATCAGACATAATGAATTTTAACCAATCAACTTTTAAATATATACTACTACTACTACTACTACTACTACTAATAATAATAATAATAATAATAATAACAATAATAATAATAAAATGTCATTATTATTATTATTATTATTGTTGTTATTGTTGTTGTTTTTGCTGTTCACTACTAGTAGGTCATTAATTGTAATAATTTTGCCATATGTTCCTGTGTGATGTATACTCTTATCGTATATATTTTTTTAAATCTTTTTTTGTCTTTACAAACTTTCACCATGGTTTCTATCTGTGTTTTTCTAAATGACTTTTAATCTGTTATCAAAAATCCCCATGGCAATTGTTTTTTTCAATGTGATCAGCAGATGGCGTAGGTCTGCACTTCCCCTGTAAACAGGAGAAAAATAGCTTTAAGATAACTCTAATTGTAAAGCTTCTCATTGGCCTTGTTATTTGTATTAACATTTGTGGTGGGTTAAGGTTCAGGGGGTCTGCCATGAATATCTGTTTTAGCCATGTGCAATGTATATATCTATACAAATACATATACATATACACCGATCAGACATTACATTATGACCACCTCCTTGTTTCTCTGCTCATTGTCCATTTTATCAGCTCCACTTACTATATAGGTGCACTTTGTAGTTCTACAACCACAGACTGTAGTTCATCTGTTTCTCTGCATACATTGTTAGCCCCCTTTTACCCTGTTCTTCAGTGGTCAGGACCCTCACGGACCCTCGCAGAGCAGGTACTATTTGGGTGGTGGATCATTCTCAGCACTGCAGTAACACTGACGTGGTGGTGGTGTGTTAGTGTGTGTTGCACTGGTCTGAGTGGATCAGACACAGCAGCGCTGCTGGAGTTTTTAAACACCTCAGTGTCACTGCTGGACTGAGAGTAGTCCACCAACCAAAAATATCCAGTTAACAGCGTCCTGTGGGCAGCGTCCTGTGACCAGCAAATGAAGGACTAGTGGATGATTAGCTCATACTGTACAGCAAGAGATGAGCTATGGTCTCTGGCTTTACTTCTACATGGTGGACCAACAACGCAGGTGCGTCTAATAGAGTGGACAGTGAGTGTTTAAAAACTCCAGCAGCACTGCTGTGTCTGATCCACTCATACCACCACAACACACACTAACACACCACCACCACGTCAGTGTTACTGCAGTGCTGAGAATGATCCACCACCCAAACAGTACCTGCTCTGTGAGGGTCCATGAGGGTCATGACCACTGAAGAACAGGGTAAAAGGGGGCTAACAAAGTATGCAGAGAAACAGATGAACTACAGTCTGTAATTGTAGAACTACAAAGTGCACCTATATAGTAAGTGGAGCTGATAAAATGGACAATGAGCGTAGAAACAAGGAGGTGCTCATAATGTTGTACCTGATTGGTGTACATATACATAAACACATACATATACACATACATATACATATACATATACATATCGCTACTGTCGGATCAAAACCTCGTATCTCTAAAATGATAAGTTTACAGGAGAAGGAAAAAACCTACTTCACTTTTAATCTAAGTCAATGGAACCAGACTTTTTTCCAGGTCATTTTTGTCATTTCTTTTGGTTCCTTCATCATGAAATTTACATACAATGTAAAGACCAACAGACATTTTCAATTTATGCCAAAAACTGAAAAATGATAAAAATTTTGTTCCGACAGCAGCGATATACACATACATATACACCTACATATATATATATATACACATACATATACATATACATGTACATATACATATACATACATATACCCAAAAGCAGCTTTACAGAAAGTCTTGGGTCCAATAAGACAATAAGAACAATACGAGTAGAGGATAAGATATCAAAATAAAATCAAAAATAAAAATGTATCCATAACAAGCAGAACCCCTTTCTCACATGATGATGAGAAATTCTTTCTACATTTTGTTGAATAAGTTTGAGTTTTACTTCAGCATAATTGATTACTTTGATTTAAGATGTCATGTTTTATCTGAATATAAGCATTTTCAGGTTAAAAAAAATCAGTACTTAATTTCTTATGATTTTAACCATCCATATTTTGTATATATATATGTGATCTTTGAGTTTTGCAAGGTTAAAAGTGAAATGCATACTTCAGATTCAGACCTCTGCATCTTTAGAGCAATAAATAATAGCAAGTTCATTTGGTGTAAGCAAAAACAGTACAGAAAGTCTACAGAAGATGATTAAAATGATCTTTCAGAAATGATGTAGCATGTTATTTGAAAACAAAATCTAGACAAGTAATTGCACGATTCTTTTAATAATTCAAGGTTGGATTAAACTGTGACTAACTAAACATCACAAAGTTAGTTTGCCATTATACTGTTTGTTTTTCCTGGCCTCAATGATGTGGTTGCTTTAATCTTTGCTCCTGAAATTCCAGAGCACCTGGTGT